CTCCGATCACTATCCAAGGCAACTGTAGCATCTGGAGAAGAGCTCCCAATTTTCCGAAACGCTGCGTGTTGGCACCCCCGAATCCCTGCGAGGGGTGCGCATAACAAAGAATCAAGACTAAAGAGTAGCCTTGGCAGTGCACCACTGACGGCATAAAGCCGTCGAAAGCGTCAGCTCCATCAGCGCACAGTGACGTCACTTCGGACGCCTTGGCAAACAAACGATGCACATTGCGGTGGCCTGGCGCCCAGAGTGCCTCGCCCCCTTCGTTGGCTCTCTGGACTGCGGCCGCGCTGGTGCCCTCCCCTGTGTTCCTGGCCATGTTGTCCAGGAACTTCCACTTGCAAAGCCGAGACTTCTTCGCCCACTGCGTACGAGTGTGGCACCCTGCGTGAGTCTCGACGGCCCCGATGAGATCGTACCTGGACATGGTGGCCTCCGAGCTGAGGAAAGGCCATGACTTCTTCCCGAGGCAGGTGATGTTGCCGAAGAACATCCTGACCTCTGAAACCTCCTGCGCCTCCGATGATGACAAAGGTGCTCCGCCCGCTGCCAATGAACCCGACGGGGCACCTGACGACTCCGATGAGAAAGAAGAGCGAAGAGGAGCCGCCGCTAAAACTGCCTCCTGCTCAAGCGACTCCGAGGAAGGTGAAGGCTGCGCCGCCGCAAACACGCCGCCTCCACTAAGTGCACGTCACTGACTCACTTTGCTAGCGGCCTCAGCCGCCTCCTGCCCAGCTGCCGCTGCGGCCCTGATCTTGGCCATCTCCGCCTCGATCTCGGCCTCGGACGGGCTGCTTGGCGTCGCTGCGACCCCCGTGGCGCCAGGGCCGTCGCGCGCGCCCACCGCTGCTGCGCCCGCGGCCGCAGCCGCTCCGCCAGCCGAGGGAGCGGCTGTGGCGGCCGCTCCGCCACCTGCAGGAGGACAGCTCCCAGGTGGCCCTGCGGGCGCAGCCTCGGTCCCGTCAGCAGCCCCGCAGCGCCTCCTCTTCTTGATGCGCTCCGCGACCTGCTTCTTCAAGGACTCGACGTTGTCGCACCACTTGGTGATCTCCTCGGCCTTGCTAAGCACTGACTGCTGCACCGCCTTCAGCTCCGCCTCAACTTTGCGGAGCTCCTCTTTCTCCTCTGCGCTGCACTCAAGCTCGTCCAGTTGCTGGAAGAACTCGGTGTCCCACGTGAGGTTGAAGATCGGCTCGGCCGTCTTGGCGGCGGGCGACTCCACGACCGCGCCTGTCTCCTTCGCCAGGGCCTGCGCAGCGCCTCGGCGGTTGATCTCCGCCAGGGCGAGCACGCGCGCTGCCTCCGACTCCTTCTCCCTGGCGACGCTCAGGTTCTGCTCCAAACGCTTCACCTGCTGCGCTGCCTGCTGGTATTTTGCGCTGGCATCGCGCCACGCCCCAGCTGCGCGGCGGACGGCCTCCTCGGCCCCCAAAGGCTGGCCTGCCGCTGCCGCTGCCTGCTGGGACTGCTTCAGCTGCTCCTCAAGAATCTGCCGCACCTTGGGATCCTTGACGACTGCCAGGGCCCCCGACAGCGCGACGACCGTCTGCTGCGTGGCGGCCTCGACGCCGATGCTCCCCTTGGGCGCCGGCTTGACCTCCCGCTCGAGCTGCGTGTCCTTGCCGTTGCCCCTGTCCGTGCCCTTGCTCTTCTCTCCCTTGGGGACATAGAGCTTCACGGGCCTGTTGCAGACGCGGCACTTGAACCCGTTTGCCGAGAGTTTGGCATTGAACTCATGCGTGCCGCATCCCGCACACGTGCTCCAAGGGTTCGCCATGGCCCTGGGGTCTCGTGTGCTGGTGCTGTGTCCCCACTTTCGTCGACGGGATCTGCTGCGCTCTGGCGCGCGGACGACCCGCCGTCCCCCAAGCACGTCGTGGCGGCGTGGGGCTGGCCGAGTGCGAAGCCAAAATGGTGCGCTCGTGCCAGAATGCTTGAGGGGAGGAGGGAGGAGGGAGGAGGGAGGA